TGCTGCGAACGTTTTGATAGACTCCGGTGCGACGGGTCTAGTCATCAATCAGCAATTTGTGTTGAAAAACGCAATATGGTTTGATCGCGTTGATAAACCATTCAAGATGCAAGGATTTAACGAAGCGACGTATGTCTGCAAATACAAGACGGACCTCATCCTGGAAATAGATGACGGTCAAGGCAACATACACAAGGAGAAGAACAGATTCTACGTCGGGGATATCGGGAATACCGACGTAGTCTTAGGAACGGACTGGCTGATTGAACACAACCCCGAAATTGATTGGAAACGGTACACCATCAAGATGACGAGGTGTCCGGAAGAATGCCGCACGAAACCGCCCATCACCATCCAAGCAAACCATGATCTCATACAAGACATCAAGGGAGCTTTGACAAAGGTACGACGGTTAAGAACTGACAAGGAAGTCAAGAAATACGAAGCACCAGTATCCATCCAAGAGGATGAAGATGACGAAGAAGAAATGATACAATACGCGATTGAAGAAATGAAGGTACGAAAAATGCAGGTGCTAACAATTAAAGAATTACAGGAACGAAACGACAGGAAGTACTCAAATATGGCGCAGAAATTGGCGCAAGAAACAAGCAAAGACAAGAAGGAAAAGTCCACAGAAGAAATGATACCCACCGAATACCATGAATATCTCGACATTTTTGACAAGAAGAAATCGGAAAGGTTCCCAAAGCCGAAGCCATGGGACCACGAGATAAACCTGAAGGAATCATTCAAACCGAAATCGGCCAAAGCATATCCGCTTTTCGGCACGGAACGGAATGAATTGGACAACTGGATCAAGGAACAGCTGGACAAAGGATACATACGACCATCGAAATCACCGCAAGCATCACCGTTCTTCTTCGTAGGAAAGAAAGATGGGAAGCTACGACCAACGCAAGATTATCGATACCTGAACGAACACACGGTCAAGGATGCGTTTCCACTACCATTAATTCAAGAATTGGTAGACCGACTCAAGGATGCAAAGTACTATTCAAAGCTGGATCTACGCTGGGGATACAACAACATCCTGATCAAGGACGGGGACCAATGGAAAGCCGCATTCTCGACACCGAAGGGATTGTATGAACCGTTAGTCATGTACTTCGGTTTATGCAACTCGCCAGCAACATTCCAACGAATGATGAACGAACTATTTGAACCGCTGATTAACCAAGGAGTGGTAGCGGTATACCTGGACGACATTCTGGTATTCACGAAGACAAAGGACGAACACAAGGAAGTGATGAAGAAGGTCCTCAAGATACTTCAAGAAAACGATCTCTTCGTTAAACCCGAAAAGTGCGAATTCGAGAAAGAAGAAATCGAGTATCTCGGACTTATCATCAAGCAAGGACATATCGCTATGGACCCTGTCAAGGTGAAGGGAATCATGGAATGGCCGGTACCGCAGAAGGTGAAACAAGTGCAAGCGTTTCTCGGATTCTGCAACTTTTACCGACGATT